GTAGGTAGGTAGGTAGGTAGGTAGGTAGGTAGCAGGGCTGGGTTTCGACCGGTTCGCACCGGTCCCTGCGATCCGGTTGGTCGCCGAACCCGGAAGTAAGTAACTTCCGGGAACGGCAACCCCTCCCCACGCCCGCGTGCGCCCGCACGCGCCCGCACACCCGCACGCACCCGCACACCCGCGCCCGCTCCTTACCCGGTTTTTTCGAATTTCGCGTTTTCCACGCATGCGCAGAACGCCTGCGCGATCCTCCAGGAGCAGCTGGAGCATCGCGCAGACGCTAGTACGCATGTGCGCGCTGCGTGCGTGCGCGAGGATGCCGCGTGCATGCGTGAGGATGCCGCCGGCCTCGTTCCAACCGATCTGGTTGGAACGGGGCGAGAAACCCACCCCTGGTAGGTAGGTAGGTGGATAGAGGGAGAGGGAGAGAGAAATACAGTAGTTGGGAAGGGAGGGAGAGAGTAGGTAGGTAGGTAGAAAGAGAGGGAGAGAAATACAATAGGTAGGTAGGTAGAGAGAGAGAAAAAAAAATACAGTATTTATACAGCATATAAATCTAATAAACCATAAACCAGTACGTAGGTAGGTAGGGAGACAGACAGTAAGTAGGTAGATAGATAGAGGGAGAGAGAGAAATACAGTAAGTAGGTAGGGAGAGAGAGAGTAGGTAGGTAGGTAGGTAAGTAGGTAGGTAGTAGGTAGGTAGGTAGGTAGGTAGGTAGGTAGGTAGGTAGGTAGGTAGAGGGAGAGAGAGAAATACAGTAGATAGATAGGGAGGGAGAGAGTAGGTAGGTAGAGAGATAGAGAGAAATACAGTAGGTAGGTAGGGAGAAAGAGAGAGTAGGTAGTTAGGTAGGTAGGTGGTAGGTAGGTAGGTAGGTGTATTCCAGGTGTATTTATCCATGTGCTGGAGAGGAAATCGCTGACAACCTGTGGCCCCTAAGACTTTGTTTCTGCTGGCACAGCCCTTGACCAATGTAATTCTCATCAACCACTCTAACTAAAGAGCTCTTTGCACTCTGCAAACCTCCCCAAAATGGTCCATTTTCTGCCATACCCATTTATTTTTTTAAAAAAGGCATGAATAGCCTTGTGGGGGCTTGCAGAGTGTTCCTGAGGGGGCGGGGGCCAAAAACGAGCAAAAAATGGCCCATTTTTCACAAAAACAGGCCCGTTTTTTGTCAAAAAAATTGCATGCATAGCCTTATGAAGGCTTCTAGAGTGCTGCTGGGGGCTAGGGGTGGGGCAAAAAACAGCCCATATTTTACTCATTTCTGCCCTCCCCAGCCCCCAGGAGCTCTCTGAAAGCCTCCATAAGGGTATGTACAGCCATTTTTGTGAAGGTGGTGGGGCTTTGAGAGGCAAAAAATGCTGCATTTGATGTATAAGATGCATCCAGATTTTTGGCCTCTTTTTGAGGAAAAAGGTGCGTCTTATACTCTGAAAAATATGGTACTTTTAAATTACCAACAGATAGCATCAAATATAAACTGTTTTTACTAAGTATAGGTAATCCTTGACTTAAAACCATTCTGAGCTGTGGTGGTGCAGTGGTTAGAATGCAGTACTTCAGACTAATTCTGCTGACTGCTGACTGACTGCAGTTCAGCAGTTCGATTCTCACCAGGCTGAAGGTTGACTCAGCCTTCCATCCTTCTGAGGTCGGTAAAATGAGGACCCTGATTGTTGGGGGCAATAGGCTGACTCTTTAAACCACTTAGAGATAGCTGTAGAGTACTCTAAAGTGGTGTATACAGTATTTTTCGGAGTATATTTTTCTGCCCAAAAAGAGGGTGAAAATCTGGGTGCATCTTATACACTGAATACAGAATTTTTGGTCTACCAAAACCCTGCCCCCTTTGCAAAAATGGACATGCAGAGGGTTTGGGAGGCTTGCAAAGTGTTCCTGGGGGGATGGGGAGGGCAAAAATGAACCAAAACAACCCAATTTTGCTCATTTTTGGTTCCCGACCCCCAGGAGCACTCTACAAGCATCCCAAAGCTTTACATGCCCCCCCCTTTTTTTTGCAAAAAATGAGGCGTGCAGAGGGTTTGGGAGGCCTGCAAAGTGCAGAAACTTTTTTTTTAAAAAAAAAATTCCTCTTCAAAATCATGGTGCGTCTTATACTCCGGTGCATCTTATAGTCTGAAAAATACCGTAAGTCTAAGTGTAATTACTTTTAGTGACTGTTTGAACTTACAGCAGTACTGAAAAAAGTGACATAATAGATCCTTGAAATTATGACCACTGCAGGAAACCCACAGCCACATAATCAAAATTTAGGTATGCATTTACAACAGTTACAGAGTCTCGGGGTCCTGTGAATTCTCCTTGTGACCTTCACAGCTGGCTTGTGACCAGGAAAGTCAATGGGGGAGGGGAAGCCAGATTAACTTAACAACCAGTTAACTGACATAGTTTGTACGTTGTAAAATTGGGTGCATCTCATTTACCGACCTCCTTGTTTAGCAATGAAAATTGTGGCCCCAACTTGGATTATTAATCAAGGGTTACCTGTATTCTAGAGCGAAAACTTCTTGGCATGGGATAATCAGTAAGAAAGTTTTGTCATTTTTTGGGGAGGGGTACAGACTCCAGATGAGTTTTTGAGCGGTACAACGGGGACTGTCTCTCTGTCTCTCCGCAAAATCTCAGGAGTTTAAAATAGGCAGTGGCAAAAATATCATTTAAATTTAATTCACCTTGTTAAAACAAATTACCAATATTAGTAATATTGGTAAATGATAAATGATTGGTAAATAAATAATAGCAACATTCCAGTATTTGAGGGGCTGCCTCAAAGAGGAGGGAGGTCACCTTATTTTTCAAAGCACTAGAAGAAAGGATGAGAAACAATGGATGGAAATTAATCAAGGAGAGAAGCTACCTGGAATTAAGGAGAAACTTCTTAAAAGGCAGGACTAAGGGTGGGCTGCTACGGATTCACCTGGATTCGGGAGAACCCGTAGCTAATGGTTCATTTGGAGAACCTCCAAATCTCACCTCTGGCTGGCCTCACCCATCCCCTTTCATGAGTCTCCATGCGGCATGAGATAAGTGCAGGGCCGGCATCAAGGCTCAGGGAGGAGGAAAAATGGGCCTCCTAGAAGTTCCAAAAGGAAATGGAAATGGGCGCATTTTTAGCCTCCAGAAGGCCTCTGGAGCTCGGGGAAGGCGAAAACACCCCCACCGCTGTGGTGCAGGAGGCCGACTAGGCCATGCCCACCAGGGCCACACCCACCCAGCAAACAGGTAGAGAACCCATTGCTAAAAATTTTGAAGTCCACCCCAGTGAGGACAATTAACCAGTGGGACGTCTGGCTTTCAGAAGTTGTGGGTGCTTCATCACTGGAGGTTTTTGCAAAGAGACTGGGCAGCTATTTGTCTCAATTGGTATAGACTAGAACTTCCTGCTTGGGCAGTGCGTTGAACTAGAAGACTTCCAATGTGCCTTCCTGCTCTATTCTGATTGATTGAAATACTCCCTTATTTGTTTCTTAAATTCTTTACAATGCATTGGCAATTCTGGGCTCTAAAATCCACACTGTGGATTTCAGAGGCAAGTAGATCTCCTCATTCTTGTGTCTCCAATTCTTGGAGAGAGACACAAAGAGAGAGACAAAGTGAGACAGAAATACAGACACACACACACACACACACACACAGAGAGAGAGAGAGAGAGAGAGAGAGACAGAGACAGAGACAGAGACAGAGACAGAGACAGAGAGGGACAGATAGAGAGACAGTGAGACAGAGACAGAGAGAGACAGACAGACAGTGGGAGAGACTGACAGAGACAGAGATAGACACACACAGAGAGAGACAGAGAGACAGAGAGACAGAGAGAGAAAGAGAGACAGAGAGAGAAAGAGGGACAAAGACACACAGAGAGAGAGAGAGACAGAGAGAGAGAGTGAGAGAGAGAGACAGTGAGAGAGAGACAGAGAGAGTGTGAGAGAGAGGGACAGTGAGAGAGACAATGAGAGAGATACAGTGAGAAAGACAGAGAGACAGAGAGAGAAACAGAGAGAGAGGGGGATAGAGACAGAAAGACAGACAGTGAGAGAGAGAGAAAGAGGGAGAGACAGAGAGAGAAAGAGAGAGTGACAGAGAGAGACAGAGAGAGGAAATGTGAGAGAGGGACAGTGAGAGAGACAGAGAGAGAGAGTGAGAGAGAGGGACAGTGAGAGAGACAGTGAGAGAGAGATACAGTGAGACAGACAGAGAGAGGACACACAGAGAGGGACAGTGAGCGAGACAGAGACAGACAGTGTGAGAGACAGAGAGAAAGAGAAAGAGACAGAGAGAAAGAGAGTGACAGAGAGAGACAGAGAGAGGGAGCGTGGGAGAGGGACAGTGAGAGAGAGACAGAGAGAGTGTGAGAGAGGGACAGAGAGACAGGCAGTGAGAGAAACATAGAGACAAGCAGAGAGAGAGAGAGATAGACAGCGACAGAGAGAGAGAGAGAGAGAAAGAGACAGAGACAGAAAGCAAATAAATATAGGTAGTCCTTAACTTACAACAGTTTGTGTAGTTACCATTTGAAGTTACAACGGCATTTTAAAAAGTGACTTATCACATTTTCACACTTATGTTCCTTGCAACATCCCTATGGTCATGTGATTTACATTTGGATGCTTAAGCAACTGACTCGCATTACGACGGTTGAATTGTCTGAGATCCTGGGAAACTCTTTTGTGACCTTCTGACAAGAAAAGTCAATGAGGAAGCCAGTTTTACTTAACAACTATGTTGCTAATTGAACAACTGCAGTGATTTGCTTAACAGTTGTGGCAAGAAAAATCATAACATGGAAGAAAACAAATTTCTCGCTTAGCAACAGAAATTTCAGCCCAATTGGGGTCATAAGTTGAGGACTACCTGTAAGTAGCAATAGCAATAGCACGTAGACTTGTATACCACTTCACAGTGCTTTTACAGCCCTAAGTGGTTTACAATATCAGCCTATTGTTCCCAACAATCGGGATCCTTATTTTACCCACTTTGGAAGGATGGAAAGCTGCCAACCTTGAAACCGGAAGTGGTTGCAGTTTCTGTTGCTTAAGCCACCACTTTCCATTTTTCTAAAAGTCTCCTTAGTTGTTCACATCCCAGTGTTAAAAATGCCCATATTCAGTTTCTAAGCATTCCTCGGGATATTTCTGGGCATCAAAGAGAAGCCAGGAAGTCAGCCAGCATATTATATAGCAAAAGGCAGTGGTGGGATTCAATTTTTTTATTACCAGTTCTGTGGGCGTGGCTTGTTTTGGTGGGCATGGATTGGTGGGCGTGGCAAGGGAAGGATACTGCAAAATTCCCATTCCCTTCCCATTCCCTCCCCATTCCAGGGGAAGGATGCTGCAAAATCCCCATGTCCTCTCCACTCCTTGGGGAAGGATACTGCAAAAGGTCCATTCCCTCTCCACTTCTGGGGGAAGGATACAGTAAAATCCCCATTCCCTCTCTACTCCTGGGGGAAGGATACTGCAAAATCTCCATTCCCTCCCCAGTCCTGGGGGAAGGATGCTGCAAAATCTCCAGTCCCTCCTCACCCCACTAACCTGTTTTTCCTCCATTCTCCTGTGCAGGGCAACAAAAGAAGACCCAGCCAATCAGCTGGGACTCAGGAGGCAGTGAATAGATTGGGGGCAGGGCCAGCCAGAGGTGGTATTTGCCAAACTACTCAAAATTTCTGCTACCTGTTTGCCAGAACTGGTTAGAATTGGCTGAATACCACCTCTGGGTGCATCCCTTATCCCCATCTGCCCAAGATAATTTCATGGAAAAACTGACTCTTTTTAAACATTCTCTTTTCTTCAATGAAATGAATACTGGCAGGGAGGAGAAATGCAAGGAAATAGATTAGCTGATTCCCTTCAGGATCACCGTAATCTGGAGATCTACGGAGATTCGCAACCATCCAGATCAGGGATGCCCCAAAGGTGCTTTTCCAAAAGGCAAGTGTTTCCCCACCCCCCTCCACAAGAAAGTCCAGTTGCCTTTTAGAAAAGCGCTTTTGTGAATTAATCTAGAGCAGGAGTGTCAAACTCGATTTCATTGAGGGCCGCATCAGGGTTGTGTTTGACCTTGGGGGTGGGCAGGGTGGGTGTGATCAGCTCGACGTCACTCGTGTCTGGGGCGCCTGTGGTGGCCTGAGTACTCTGCCAGCGAAAACGGGCTCCTGAGCTCTATTTTCGGCTGTGACTGCCTCCCACAACCCTCTGCCAGAGAAAACAGAGCTTGGGAGTGCTGCCTGCCATCCTCACAAGGTCCGTTTTCAGCTGCGACAGCCTCCTGCAACCCTCTGCCAGCAAAAAATGGATCTCAGGAAGGCTGCGCACTGCCCTCACAAGCCCCATTTTTGCTGGCAGAGGCCCCACAGGCCAGCCCTTCTCTATTTCCAGGGAAAACCCTGCAGACCAGATCTAAGCACCCTATGAGCCGGATCTGTCCCCCGGGCCTTGAGTTTGATAGCCCTGTTCTAGAGGGATTTTTATCTCCTTCCTCTGTTCAAGATCATTTTAGCTAAGTGTTTTCTTCTTCCAGCCTTACCAATGTGTTTCCTTTTTCACTTCCAAAAGATGCAGAAAGAGACTTCCAGAACAGAAGCCAAGGTCCATCCCAGCTTGAGTTCCAAGGGAGCCAGTTTTGCTCCGGAGAGATCTGAGGACTACCGAGCGTACTCTTCTGGCTTGGAAGGACGTTTTACAACTTTGCGCCTAGAAGAAAAGTCACCAGTGCAAAATGGCAAGTGCAATGTGAAAGGGGTGGTGGATCATGCAGCTTTCTGTTCTTTTCTGGAGTTAACTGGGAATTGATCTGAAGGCTAAAAAGCCTTTTTTTTTAAAAAAAAAATCTTTGTGTGAGTGATCAAAATGGAATTCTTAAGGATTCATTGCAGTAGCATTTAGCAATAGCAATAGCGCCTGGACTTATATACCACTTCATAGTGCTTTACAGCTTTTTCTAAGCAGTTTCCAAAGTCGGTAAAATGAGGAGCCAGATTGTTGGGGGGGCAGTATGCTGACTCTGACCCCCCCCCCCAACAATCTGGGTCCTCATTTTACCGACCTTGGAAAGATGGAAGGCTGAGTCAACCTTGAGATGGTCAGGATCGAACTGCTGACAGTCAGCAGAGTTAGCCTGCAGTGCTGTTTTCTAACCAGTTCACCATCACAGTTCATTTAGATTTATATACTGTCCCATAACACTTTATAGAATGCTTTAGGCAATTTGCAATGTCAAAGCATTATTTACATATTGTCCCCCCAAAATCTGGGTCCTCATTTTTCCAACCTCGGAAGGATGGAAGGCAAAGTCAACTCTGAGCCCCAACAGAATCAAACTCCAGACTATGGGCAGAGTTTGTCTGCAATACTGCTCTTTAACCATGGTGCCTCCAGGGCTCTTAAGAACATTCCCTCTTTGTTTTCCCCCTGTTTGTGGTCCCACCTCTTCCTGTTTTACTAGCTAGACCAAGATTTAGCAACCCACCACATGTCTGTAGACATTCTCAGTCATCCAGATCATGATTGCCTCAAAGGTGCTTTTTCAAGGAGGCAACTGCACTTCCTTATTTTTTTTCTTTTGAAGATGTTTCTCTTCTCATCCATGAAACTGACCAAAGAAGCTGTCAGAGCTGAAGAAGCTTCTTGGATGAGAAGCAAAAAGTCTTCAAAAGAAAAAGCAACAACAAAGAAATCCAGTTGCCTCCTGAAAAAGCACCTTTGGGACAACCCAGTACATGTATTATTCCAAGTTTTGTAGCTTCTTTCCCCAACAAACCAAGATCCCAGGGCCAACATTTGCCCTCCAAATCATGGGTTTTACACCAAATCCTTCCTACAAGGTAGATCAATAATTTTGGTTTGAACTCTGAAGACATCAATACATCATTAATTCCCCAACCCCATACTTTGCAGTTCCTATAAGCTATTGTTCTTTGTATCTTCTGTCCAACTTGGATCCAACTTGGCTGTAAGCCAGTCTCAGAAATTTCCACATCAGCCTTCCTATAAACACTTGCCCTTCTCTTGAATTTAAATTATTCACAGGCCTTCCTGAATCGGGATGACGAGAAGTGATGTTCAACAGTAGTGAAAAGCTCCAATTATAGAAGGCTGATCTGGAAGCCAAGCACACATCCTAATTCATATTTTATAGGACAATGGGAAGATGTTTCCCGAAAGGTTCTTTCTGCTCAATGTTTCCAACCACTTTGCCTAAATTTCCTCTTCATTTCACATCTGAATGTTAATTAACAGTAGTGATTGCTCAGTTACTGCCAACTCTTGTGGTTCAATAGGCATCTTGTTGCCAGAACGGTCTGCTAGTAACTAAATGAGGTTCTGTAAACAACTGCTTACGTCATCAGCAATAGCATCCGGCCGCCTAGCTGTCAGTCACCTTCCTCATTAGTAAAGCAGATTTGGGCTGCAACAATTAGTAAAGCCTCTAGAGGGCAGCAAACGGCTAGAGATTCTCATTCTCCTTGCTGCCATCTAGGGGATATTTAGATTTTTGTAGCCTAATATGGTTACCATGGAGTAGGCTCCCATTTGTGTGTGTGTGTGTGTGTGTGTGTGTGTGTGTGTGTGTGTGTGTGTTTGTGACTGCCCATCAGCATTTCCTTCTTGGAGCTCTTCCAAGCTTTTGCCTGTGCCACTGGAGACCATGATTACCTGGCTTATTTGTTGCCTTCAGTTTTTGAAAGCAGCAATGCTTGCCATAATGGGCTAAAATCAGAGGTGGGGAACAATGAGCCCTTTATATAGAAATTCTCAATCATCCAGGTCATGGTTGTTCCAAAGGTGCTTTTTTCAGGAGGCAATTTGATTTTCTTGTTTTTCTTTTGAAGATGTTTCGCTTCTCATCTAAGAAGCTTCTTCAGCTCTGACAGGATAGTGGGGCATGGAAGGATTTTTATTCCTTGCAGACAGCTGGTCATTTGCGTCCTTTTAGAGGGTCCTTGAAGCACTCGGAGGTTTATCTCTGTCCTCAGGGTCACCTGAGTAATGCTCCTGGTTTCCTGTAGTGTGCAATTATTTTTTTCCTCTGGAAATCCATTCCTACTCCCACACCATTCAAAGTGCTAACTGCTAACTACCTGCTATAAACGGTGTTCATCGCAAATTGCATAGCTTAAAATCTGTAGAGAGTCTCAGTCACCCAGGTTATGTTTGCCCCAAAGATGCTTTTTTTCAGGAGGCAACTGGACTTCCTTGTTTTTCTTTTGAATACATTTCCCTTCTCCTCCAAGAAGATTCTTCAGCTCTGCAATGGTTCCTTTATGATTTGTGCACATGGATGGTTCAGGAATTCTGGGAGTTGCAGTTCACAAGTCATAAAAGGGCCATCGTTCCTCACCCCTAGACTAAATCAAGGAGGCCTAGAACTCTTTCGGCTAATTTCAAGAGATCCACTGGAATTATTTCTCATTCGGTTCCTCTTTCTATTACCATTTTTCGGCAGTAAATAATAAAAAAAATAGGAAGTACTAGTGAAAAAAGGATTGTTCATGGCTGGACCCCAAAATAAAATGTTGTGGAGAAGAGCGGGCATTTGTTCAATGAAAATCCTATTTGGAAGGACCCAGGTTCATTCCAGAGGTGTAATTTCTTCAAAATTATTTATACAATGGGGCAAATTCATGCAGCCTGTAAAATAGAATGGGGCTTCCTTCATTTATCTTAGATATGTATTGTTTATCTCAACAAATGAATTCAGTCATTATGAATTCAAAGCAAATCAAAGCACATTGCTTCTTAACTAAGAAAAAGTGAATAGAAAGTTGTCAGCCGATAAATCCACAAAGACGATCCAGTGAATTTGAATACATTTTACTAAGCCATGTTTTATGTTTTATCTTTAATATTTCAGAATCAAGAATATCTAATGATTTGTTTGACGAGGCCTGCAAAATACCCAGTTTCTTCTCATAGGATTGATTCACACATCACCCAAAGTCATAATGAGTTTCCTTTGGTTTGGCTTAAGAAAATGTGTGGATCAAGCCATCATGGTTAATTCAAGTCAGGGATTGTGAATTCTACCATGATGGTTTACCAATTGCATATAATTGCTATTGCTCAGGGATGTTGTTAAACTCAAGACCCATGAGCTGAATTCGACCCACAATGTGGTCGGATCCAACCCACTGTGACGTCCTGGTCTACCCAGTATGAAGAGGAAAGATCAGGCCAATGTAGCTTCAGCCCGGTTTATCCAATGCAAAGGGGAAACATGCCAACAGTTTGGAGAATGGCATCAAGCTGGCTGCGCCCACCCAGTTGGCCATCGCACCCAGCCCCTGAGGTCAATCGCAGCTGTCAGTGAAATTGAGTTAGAACTCCTGCTGTAACTAGTTTATGATATATTTTTAATTGATTGAGAGCCGAGGTGGCGCAGTGGGTAGAGTGCAGTACTGCAGCCACTTCAGCTGACTGTTATCTGCAGTTCAGCGGTTCTAATCTCACCGGCTCAAGGTTGACTCAGCCTTCCATCCTTCCGAGGTGGGTGAAATGAGGACCCAGACTGTGGGGGCAATATGCTGACTCTGTAAACCGCTTAAAGAGGGCTGAAAGCCCTATGAAGCGGTATATAAGTCTAACTGCTATTGCTATTGATTGTTTGCTGACGAGTCATAGATTTTTCTCAGCGATAGTACATGGAATCATGATTTAAAAAAAATCTATAGTTAAGTGTACTGTGGTAAGCCCAATACTGTAATTTATAAATTAGCATATTGTGTGACTTTAACTATGGTTTGTAACCCATTATTTTTGTCTTAAAGTGATATAGGTAGCCAACCAGTGGTGGGATTCAGCCAGTTCGCACCTATTTGGGAGAACCAATTGTTAACTTTCTGAGCAGTTTGAAGAACCCGTTGTTGGAAGAAATCTCATTTTGTTTTTTTTTTCACTTTACAGGCCTAATCCTGTAAGGAAGGCAGGAAGAAAACATTCTGGTGTTGTTTCTAGCCTAATCTTTATTGCCTTGGTTATAGAAACTGCCTCTCTGGTTAACCCTTATTGCATTCTAACAGCTAAGGCAAAGCGCCCATATACATGAGTGATGTTGAGTTGGCCACGCCCACCTAGTCACATGACCACCAAGCCCCGCCTACACAGCTGGTTATTACGGCAGAGAACCAGTTGTTAAATTATTTGAATCCCACCACTGGAGCCAACGATTGTGATTAATTCAAGAAAAAAATGGCTAAAACAAATAAAGGATAAGCGGGATATATAATCATTGCTATTTTCCCCCTTTCAGAGGCTCTACCACCAGAAGTCATTTTCAGGAACAAATCTTCTGGGACCCTTCACCGAAGTAAAAGCATGTGTACCAGGAATGTAAGAACATAATTATCAATTTACTCTTTTGTGCGAGAATAAGTTAGTCATTCGTAGGAAAAAGAGAGAGTTCCAGTTAGTGACAAACTAGTTAGTGAGCTGTGTCGAGCTTATTTGATCTAATCCAAGATGGTGGCTGTGGTTGGAGAACACTATGGAAGACCAGAGCTCTTGCAACAAGCCTTCTTGGCAAAGTGTGCCTGCTTAGAGAAACGCTCATTGGCTAAGAACCAGGAAAGGAAGCTGAGGCTGACAATCAGAGATGGGCTGCTGTGGGTTCGCACGGGTTTGGGGGATCCTTTGGCTGAGGATCTGCCCAGTTTGGTGAACCTGCAAATCCTGCCTCTGGCTGGGCCCACCCACCCTGCCCCACCCCTCCCACACAGCATCACCTCTCCCAGGAGTCTCCACGTGGCCCATTTGGGATGCCAGGTAAGTATTGAATTGAATTGAATTTATTGCATTTATATGCCGCCCTATTCCGGAGGGACTCAGGGCAGCTCACAATTCAAAGGGAGGGAAATACAGACAAGGGGGAAAAAACAGCACAGCAAACAACTACAGAAAGAATTTAAAAACAATCAACAGCCATACAGTTCGAGTGGGGATGGGAACTCGTCAGCCCCAGGCCTGTCGGAACAGCCAGGTTTTAAGGGCTTTGCAGAAGGCCTGAAGGGTGGTGAGGCTCCGAATCTCCATGGGGAGCTAATTCCAGAGGGCTGGAACAGCCACAGAGAAGGCCCTCCTCCGGGGGGTAGCCAGGTGACATTGGCCGGTAGATGGAATTCGGAGGCCTACTCTGTGGGATCTAATAGGTCTATTGGAGGTGATTGGCAGCAGGAGGTCTCCCAAGTACCCAGGTCCAATACCATGAAGGGCTGTATAAGTGACGATTAGCACCTTGAAGCGTATCCGGAGACCAATGGGCAGCCAGTGCAGCTCGCGGAGGATAGGTATAACGTCGGTGTACCGGGGTGCACCCACAATCGCTTGCACGGCTGCATTCTGGACAAGCTGAAGACTCCGAATGCTCTTCAGGGGCTGCCCCATGTAGAGCGCCCACACAGAGGCTCAGTGCCCACACAGAGGCTCAGGGAGGGGGAAAAACAGGCCACACCCGAAGTCTGGAAATGGGCCTGTTTTCAGCCTCCAGAAGGCCTCTGGAGCCTAGGGAAGGCTATTTTTGTCTTCCCAGAGGCTCGCAGAAAGCCTCCGGAGCCCAGGGAGGGCAAAAACACCCCCCTGTTGTGGTGCAGGAGGCCGACTAGGCCATGCCCACCATGGGCAACCAACAACCGTGCAGAGAACCCATTGCTAAAATTTTTGAAGCCCACCCCTGGCTGACACTTCTGTTGAAGGAAGAAGCATAAACACGAACAGGTCTTGTCTAGGGAGCTGACATGGGCATCTTGAACACGGGATCACCTTTTAACTAGCCTGATGCTTTGTTTTTCAAGAGAGCTGAAAGGACAGACCAGGAAAATGCTCTTGTGTCGGAAGTCCAAACTCCACAGAGGAGCACACTCAGAGGTAATTTTTTTCCCTGTCTTGTTTGGAGGGAACGTGTGAAACCAGGCATGCTACTCCTGCACAGCAAGACCATCATGGAACTAGCAGCCCTGACCATTAAAGACATGGGAACAGAGAGCCAAGTAGTGGTGGTTCGAATCCCTAGTGCCGCGTAACAGAGTGAGCTCCCGTTACTTGTCTCGGCTTATGCCAACCTAGTAACAGTAGAAAGCATGTAAAAATGCAAGTAGAAAAATAGGAACCACCTTTGGTGGGAAGGTAACCTAGTTCTAGGTTGCTTCTCTCCTTGATTAGTTTTCCATCCATTGCTTCTTGCCTTGCCTTCAAGTCCTTTGGAGAATAGCTTGATCCCTTTGTGGCAGCCCCTCAAATATTGGAACACTGCTAACATGTTTCCCCTCCCCCCCTTTTTTTTCCAAACAGGTAATAAGCAACGGCCCCTTTCAGATACATTTGCTTTCCCACCATATCCAAATTATCCTGGATACCTTCATTATCCGCCGGTAAGTAAATGATAAATACTAGGAACAAGATTGGGGAAATATGGAGAGAAGCTTCCTTAAGAGATCTTCTGTGAATCTCTCTTGCTAACTTCCACTAAGGGTTGTATGAATCTTATTTCCCTCTAAACTTTTCTTTCAAAAATAGGGGCATAGAATTAGGGATGAAATGCTACCAGTTTGGGCCGGTTTGCTCGAACCAATAGTAAAAAAATGCTACTGGTTCACAGAACCGGTAGTAAAAAAATACAGAAAAAAAGTTTTTTCTTAAAAAGTTCCAATGATCGCACGTCGCACAGCTGATTTTTCGAACTTTTTAAAAAACTTTTTAAGCATTTTTTTTTACTATAGGTTCTCCAGAAACACGAGGGTGAGTGGGGGTCCATTTTTGCTTCCAGCAGGCTTCTCTGAAGCATGCTAGGCCAAAAATGTGGGATGGAAGGTGTTGAGAAAGAAATAAAGGAAGGAAGGAAGGAAGGAAGGAAGGAAGGAAGGAAGGAAGGAAGGAAGAAAGAAAGAAAGAAAGAAAGAAAGAAAGAAAGAAAGAAAGAAAAAGAAAGGGAGGGAGGGAGGGAGGGAGGGAAAAAGGAGAGGAAGGAAGGACTACATACCTGGCACTAAACGCAGCTTCAGTAGATAATCCAGGGCTGTAAGGGACCTGGAGGTCATCTAGTCCAACCCTGCTCCAGCAAGGCATTGTTAAAGTGAGTTTCTGTCTTTTGATCCCCCAGCTGCATGACTACATAGCCATGGCCACACAGTCACATGACCCCACCAAACCACGCCCACAGACCCAGTAGTAAAAAAAAAAAAAAAAGATTTCACCACTGGCATAGAACATTGGCAACGACATTCTAGGAAGAGCTCCATTGGATCCAGAGGTGGTGTTCAGCCAGTTTTTTGACTAGTTCGCTGAAACAGTAAATACCACCTCTGTCTGGCCCCTCCCCTACCTGTCTGCTCACCCCTCCCACTCATCTGTCTCTTGCTTACCGCCATCACCATCCTGTTCTTCCGGTCCAGGAGGCATGGGGTGAACATGCATAGCCAGTTCGAAGAACAGAGTGGCGGGACTGAAGCTCTTTTTTTGGTGCATTCAAGAAGCAGAGGTCGGTAGTTTTTGGTCCAAGACATCTACAGCTACCATCGGCAGCTTGGTTCTGGCTGGCAAAGAGGCAGCATCTGAGAGGCTTCTTGCACCAAAAACTACCTAAAACTACAGGCCAAAAAAGAGGCCTGAAGTTCCGGCCGGCACCAATGCCACCCTGTTCTTCATGCCGGCCGCGAACTCTCACCCCATTGCCTGTCAGTACGCATGCACAGCTGCACTCCATTGCCAGATGTGGACAGGAGAATGGTCTGTCCATGTCAAAGGGACATAGTTGTAGCTGAGTTGCTCGGAAGGCAGCCGGACGGTGGTGTCCCTTTAAGATACTTTGATATGTGGGCGACCATAAAGGCACAGGCTGCAGGAGCTGCCATTTCTGCTGGTTCTGTGGGTATGACTTGGTGGGGGGATGTCATGTGGCTGAGTGACATCACTCACATTGAGTTGGCCATGCCCACTCAGTCACATGACCAGACCACGCCCACTAACTATGCCCACAGAACCTGTAGTAAAAAAAAAATGAATCTCTGTTGGATCTACACTTCATAGTTCAGTGTCCTATTTCCACCGTGGTCATACAGAGACTTTGTGGAACTTTCCTTCATCAGGGAAAACAATCCATAGCTTTGTCCAATCGGAAACATTGGGCCAATTGTGCTCCCCAAACAAATTGTGCTCCCAAAAGTTCACAAACAAATACACAATTACCTCATTCTTCAGCCAAAGGAATTTCCCCGCAGTTCTTTTTTTTTTTAAAGTTAATCTTTGCTCTCTGATTTACACCATGACACGAGAAATGAACACGGAGGGAAAAATATCAATTTACTACTTTATATTTCTTATAAGGGCCACCTGGCATAGCAACAGATCAGGCTGCAGAGGGAATGACATATAAATTACTGGAAGGGGGTCTGGTAAGCAGGGGTGGGCTGCTATAGGTTCACCCAGGTTCAAGAGAACCTGTAGCTAATATTATGGCCGGTTCAGAGAACCTCCAAATCTCACCTTTGGCTCGGGGAGGGGGAAAAACGGCCCACCCAGAAGTTCTGGAAGGCCAGAAATGAGCCCGTTTCCAGCCTTCAGAGGGCTTCGGAGCCTGGGGGAAGCAGTTTTCACCCTCCCAGAGGATCGAGGAAATCCTTCAGAACTTGGGGAAGGTGAAAATGGCCCCCCGGCTGTGGTGCAGGAGGCCAAATAGGCCATCCCCACCATGGCCATGCCCACCCAGGAACCAGGCAAACAACCCATTGCTGAAATTTTTGAAGCCCACCCCTGCCAGTAAGAATCTATGGCTTTCAGATTCCTTAATCCTTGTGGTTTCAAACCAGATCCCTAATGATTAGCAGTTTCTTTTATTGGCAAAGTAGATAATTCAGTCATCCATCCATCCATCCATCCATCCATCCATCCACCCATTATTTGCTCCTATCCAAACAAACTCTGCGTGTGGTACAAGTTACAACACAATAAAGGAAAAACAGAGTAGCGGGGAAAAAATCATATTTTTTTTAAAAAACAAACAAACAGTGAAGGTCTAACAGTGCTATTATGGTGGAATTATCTGAAGGAGGTTCAGCTTTCTAGGTGCATAAAAAGACATTCAGATTTGATCGGGTTTTTTAGTCCATTTCAAATTGGGTCATCAGGTGATATACTGTATTTTTCGGAGTATAAGACGCACCAAGATTTTGAAGAACAAATTTAAAAAAAAGTTTTTGCACTCTGCAAACCTCCCCAAAATGGCCTATTTTTCACAAAAAATGGACCCATTTGTTTTTTTTTTTAAAAAAAGGGCATGAATAGCCTTCAGGAGGCTTGTAGAGTGTTCCTGCGGGGTGGGTCCCACCCCCAAATGAGCAAAAAATAGCCTTTTTTCACTTATTTCTGCCCTCCCCGCCCCCAGGAGCACTCTAAAAGCCCCCTAAAGGCTATGCATGGCCATTTTGGTAAAGGGGGCTGGGTTTCGAGAGGCAGAAAAATGCTGTATTCAATGAATAAGATGCACCCAGATTTTCAGCCTCTTTTTTGAGAGAAAAAGGTGCCTCTTATACTCTGAAAAATACAGTAAGTGTATAGGTGAGTGATGGCAAATCTTTTTGGCACTGCATTCGTCAGGGCTGTTAACATGGAAGAGGAGCTGCCCAGGGGGCATGGGAGTGCCAGAAAATGAACTTCCGGCTTCCGGCATCCACATGTGTGCTGGCCAGCTAGTATCAGCTACCTGGTACTATCAGCTGGCCAGCACACATGCTCATGCCAAAAACAGAAGACCAGGCCTTCCACTTTCTGGCACTGCCATATGCATAAAGGCCAGCTGACCATCGCATGCGCACGTGGGCCAGAAACCCAGAGGATGTACGGGCAATGCTGCACATGCAGGGCAACATGGCACGTATGCCATAGGTTCGCCATCAGGGGTATAGCTGGTCTGAAAGAGTAGGTCAATGGTCACCTTTTCAGTTCCTGTCAACACTCATCCATCTTTTTTTTCCATTTTTTTCCTCATCTAGATTTTTTCTCCCCAGCCATTTTATGACACTCACCAAGGTGATATTGGATTTGCCCAGCAGAACCTGTCGGTCCCATGGCGTTCTGCACCTGCAGCTCCCTGTGAGTAAAAGCAAACACTCCCAAAATATAACCAACTCACTCCTGTAAAACGTCTCTGAACTTAACCTGATTTTTAACAAAGGCAATTCTTTTCTTGACCTCCAGATGGCGGAGTTCAAATCCGTGGCAACAGCATCACCGGAGTTCAGATTGGAGGGGGCAACCATATGCATGTTGAACAAGCTTCTCGGACAAGAAAAAACAATAACCAATGAATTTTGATAGAAAATGGACAATGGCATCCCTGTGCAGCTTGAAAGCATTAAAGCCAGCTCCACTTGCCTTCTCTTATTGCCCCTGCCTTTTCGGCACAATCCCTCTAACTCAGGGGTGGGTTCCCGCCAGTTTTACTCCTGGTCCACAACCCATACACGTGCACTGTTCAATGTAAATCGTTCTTCGCGCACACGCAGAACAATTTACAGTGAACTGCGCCTGTGCAGTCACTAAAAATCAAAATGGCGGTGGCCCAGTGGCGGCAAGGAAATTGGCTCAGGGGCGTGGCAGGCCTGAGTCACTGCCAGTTTTGCGAACCAAGCCTGAATTCCCCTACCGGTTCGGCTGAACCGGGCCAAACCGGGAGCAACCCACCTCTGCTCTAACTCAACCTACTCCATCTATTTCCTATAAAGGTAGAATCACAGAACAGAAAGGATGGAAGTGGCTCAGAAAATGATCTATTCCAAGGGGGGGGGGGGTCTCCAAATTTGGCAACTTTAAGACTGGTAGACTTTAACTGCCAGAATTTCCCTGCTAGCATGGCTGGCTGGGGAAATTCTGGGAGTTAACAGAGTAACAGAGTCGGAAGGGATCTTGTAGGCCATCTCGTCCAAGCCACCTCCCGCCCAAGCAGGAAACCCTACACCATTTATGAAAAATGGCAATTGAAAGTCTCAAATGATGAATGGCTTCTTGACAGTCTCCAGTGATGAAGCCCCTTCAACTTCCAAAGGCAACTTCTGTTCCACTTGTTAATTGCTCTCACTGTCATAAAGTTCCTCCTTATTTCTAGGTTAAATCTCTCCTTGATCAGTTTCCATCCATTATTCCTTGTCTGGCCTTCAGGTGCCTTGGAAAATAGGTTGATACCCCCCGCCCCTTCTCTCCGTGGCAGCCACAAATATTGGGAACACTTCTATCATGTCTCCCCTGGTTCTTCTCTTCACTATACTAGCCATGCCCAGTTCCTGTAATTGTTCACCGTATGTTCTAGCCTCCAGTTCCCTAATCATCCTGGTTGCTCTTCTCTACACTTTTTCTAGTTGAAGTCCACCAGTCTTAAACAAATTTGGAGACCTTTGATCTAATTCACCTATCTGTCCGCTCTACTACTTCAGCATCCTGCATGGAGGGCCATCCAGCCTCTCTTGAAATATCTCCAATGAAGGATAGCCCACTACCTCCCCAGATCTCTGTTTTTGTTCTTGGACAGCTTTTACTATTAAGAAATATCTTCTGATGCTCAATAAAATTCTCTTCCTTGTAATTTCAACCTGTTGTTTTTGGTCTCACCCTTAGATTCACACTGAATAATCAACTCCCATTTTTTACAGGATTTAGATACTTGAGGGTAGCTACTATGCTTTTTAACAGTCTTCTCCTTCTTGATTTTCCTATTAATGTGCATGGTTAGTAATCAGCTCTGATGGGAAGCTGGATTAAGTTATGCATTTGATACCTACCTTCCTGCCTGTAGAATTCAGACATGGTGCTTTTTCCCTTTTTGTTTTCCCTTCTTTCCAATTTTGCTGGAATTGGCTGGCCTGAGATAATTTTTTTTTCTTGTGACAACAATTGAATGCAGCCATTCTAACAATCTCTATCAATGGCTTCAAAGGAAAATATGTGAAAGCTTAAACGAGAAATAATAATAAATTTGGGGAAAGAAAGGAGCACCATCCAAAGATTCATTGATTAACTGAAGCACTTGAAGAGTTTATGGCAACTTTGTTTCTGAATAAATCTCTAACACATTGCTAAAAATAATTGGCCACTGCCCTCACTATTTTGCAGAAAATCACTGAGTTCAAGAAATGGGTGCTCATTCTGGGTATATGCAAAACATGAGGGATTCTCGGTGCTTTCTGAGCTTGGTTGTTTTCTTGTAGATGTTTTATTACCAATCTATGTAACATCATCAGTCCAAAGCAAACTGAATTTGTCTCTTTGTGTGTCTGTTAATTTCAAAAGTTTTGAGTTTTCATAGACTTTTTATATAGTCCAAGGTTATACTGATGTAGAAAGTTAGCACCCATCCCTCTCCTTAAAGAATGAAATATTTTGAGAAATATTAAAAAGGCAAAATTTTGTATTTCCCTGGAAACAAGTGTTTTTAGAGGCAGGAAGCAGGCTTGCTCTTAATAGCTCCCACCTTTCTTAATAGCCCTCAGCAGATGTCAGCACTTAAGAGAGAAAGAAATAGCTAGCTCTATTCATAAGCAAATTCCCTGCAGCACGGTCTGAACAAAGGTAGGATTAGCCCACAGCCTCAATAGGAATTGCCCAACAAGTTCCTTAATTGCATCAGCCAAACTTCAACCAAACCTGGGAGCTGAGACAACCTACAGNAAAGGGAGACCTTACTTCCCGCGCTAGTATTCAACAGTCACAACCTACCAAATAACCATCTCTCATTGTTGGGGAGGGAAGGGCAGAGATTCTCGAAATATTCAGCACATGCATTTAAAAGAACCAGTTTGGGATTCAGAAGGAAGTGAATCCTCAGTAAAACAGATTTTCTTTTAAAAACAGAGGGTTACTATTATTATAAATAAACTGCTAATATGAAGAATTGCCAAGCAATCTTTTGCAACAAGACACAGATGCCTGTACAACTGAGGAGATGTGCAAAAGAAAGGCTGCTGGGGGCAATCCAGAAGATAGAAGGATTTGAAATCTGCTTTTCAGTGGGTCAGGAAACAATAGGAAGGAAGCTGGTTTGAATTGCCTGCTTGGTCTTTTATGAGTCCGGCCACTGATAAGAGTCTGTCTGGGAAACGAAAATTACCCTACTTTTCTCTTTTATAGTTAGGGGCTGGTTTGCCTCCCTGTGTTTGGTTGGCAGATGGTGTGAGCCGATGTGTGGTATTAGTGCATAGCAGCACAAGTGTCACCTTTCCCCTCCAAGGGTCTTACATACCAGTTTTTAAGGCCCTGGAGAAGAAGAGGAAGGAACTGGAAAAAGCACTTGACTTCTGGAATGCCTACGCCCGCCAAGACCTACAACTTGGTCCTTCAGACAGGAAAGTGGTCATTGTTTCAATGGCTTGACCCAGCTACTGGGGCAGGCAACAGCTTGCGCTGGGCTGGTCCACAGGAAGGAAATGTGGAGCCTTTCATCTGGGCAGTCCCAACAACAACACACCATGTGAAAGGGAGAGTTTTTATCTCCTCCCTTCAGCCTTTCTGGTGGCACACAGAAAGGGAACGCTGGCACACACACCAGTCATTTACAACTGAACTTCCAGCCGAGAAATGAAATGAACTGGCTTGCGGGCAAGAATCCATCAAGAAAACTTCCCATGCAGGAAACATCCACTTAAGTAGAAAGGGATTTTCTTGCAAGGTAATTATTTTCCTTATTTTCCCTTACTCAATCCAACAAAGTCACTCTTTATTCTTTTAGAGACTCTGAAGATAAGTAAGTTTGGTTTAGGAAGCTCTGCAGCTAAGCAGGGACTTGGATCTGTTTTTGATTTGTCCAGGGGCTTTGAACACACCTTTCCATGACTAAAGAGATAAGATATCAGATAAGAGGGAGTCAAGCTATTCTCCAAAGCACCTGAGGGCAGGGCAAGAAGCAATGGGTGGAAACTAATCAAGGAGAGAAGCAACTAAGGAGAAATTTCCTGACAGTTAGGACAATTAATCAGTGGAAGAACTTGCCTCCAGAAGTTATGAATGCTCCAACACTGGAAATTTTTAAGAAGCTGTTAGATGACCATTTGACTGAAGTGGTTTCCTGCCTAAGCAGGGGGTTGGACTAGACTACCTCCAAGGTCCCTTCCAACTCTGTTATTCTATCATTCTAATTTTCAAAGTTGGTTGGTAGCTTTAGCAAACATTTGTTTTGTATAGTTTGGTTCTGACAGATCTGACTTTGGATATGGGAAAAGAAGAAGAAAACCAATAATGGGAGTGGGGGCTTTTGGAAAAGAAGGTGCAGGCCTAAGAAAGACAAAGTCACGAGAAAGAATTTCAGAATTACTCTGCCACGATTGGGTTTTCGTGGAAGTTGGGAAAGGGAGGAACTCAGAGGCTTTTAAGGTTCTGTGAAAAACAGAAAATGCTCCAGGGCAACGAAGAGACATTCCTGGTCTCTATCTGCTTTGCCTGTTTCTCGATCTTGTCTACTTTGAAGGGGTGGGAGGTTGTGAACAATACTACAATGTTCCAAGGAGAAGGCTGTCCTTTGAAAACTTCTTGGAATTTGAACTGGGGATCTATAGCACATTACAGGTAGTGCTTGACTTACAATTGTTTGTTTAGTGGCTGTTTAACCTTGACAACAGTATTGAAAAAATTAACTTCTACCCATTATTTTCTTCCAATCATTTTTGAATTTTTATCCACAATTCCTTAGCTTTGGGACATGACCACCACATATGATAGAAGGTCCCCTGTTGGTGGTTACATTTCCAGCAGCTTGGAGGTCTCTTTGGGAACATTTTGGCCAATCTCGCCGGGGAGTAAATGCCACCTACAGAACATTTTGTAGATATTTTCCTTGTATGCCGCCAACATTGTCAATTTATAATTTTTCCCCATAATTTTTCCCCATGCTCCAATTCAATGTTACACCCAAAATTTGTAGCCCAAATTCCCATGGGTTCCTTCACTGTTTCCTCCTCCATTTTTCATTTTAAAAGAAAATTGTATGTTTTTGTGATCATTTTTTTCTTCCATCCCTGTTATGATTTTATCCAATTCTTGTTGTTCATTTTGAAACCCATACTGTCCCAAATCTTTTTTGTATTTTGTTTGAATCTATAGGTATGGCCACCAGTCTATTTTAATTGCCTGTGATTTTAACTCTTGATTTGTTTCTAATTTTCCTTGCCCATCCAATAACTCTTAAGCCTATTCAAATCTATTATGTTGGGGTAGATCATTGCTTCCATGGTATAATCATTATTTTCACACTTAAGACCATTGCAGCAATCCCATGGTCACATGATCAAAATTCAGATAGTTGGCAACTGGCATGTATTTACGACAGTTGCAGTTTCCCGGGATTATGTTATCTCCTTGTGCGATCTTCTGACAAGCAAAGTCAATGGAGAAGTTAGATTCACTTAAGAACTATCTTAGTCACTTAACTGCTGCAGTGATTCACTTAACAACTATGGCAAGAAAAAATGGGATGAAACTCACTTAACATCTGCCTTGCTTAGTAAATTCT